AAAACCACTTCAGCAGTTCAGGAAAGTGCAATACAGAAGCCGGGATGGTCATGTATATTATTATTGTGATAGAATGGGCTTTTAACACAACCAACCAACTAGAAAAGATCGAGGAAAATACATGTAGTCCTGGTAACCCGTGAACGCCAAGCGCGGGAAGAGGCGTACAACCAAATCGCGATTGCCTTTGGTCTTTGCATCTGATTGGTTGAATTGATGGCGGGACTTTAAAAAAAAAAACAACAAAAAAACAAAAAACAAAAAGTATACTACAGGCAGTTCTGAATTGAGCAATTACCACAATTATAGTTGAAATTTGAATGTGAAACAGCAATTTGGTGCAAGTCCTCTACTCTGTTTCAGGCTCAAATTTTTGTGTTAATCACGGTGGCAACTGAATTCAGGCCGTTCACACAGTTTTGTTGTAACGTTTGTGCCAGGTTTCTTTTAAAAGTAACAAAATTTGTTACATAAGCCTTTATAAAATAGGTTTGTGCGGGAGAACAATCAACCGAAAAACTGAATGATTTACTATTTCCAATATTTTAAAGATTCTGGATTCGAGTAAAAACTTCATATTGCTTTAGCGATATTAGAGCAAAATACTCGATATTTGCTGCCCAAACCCAAGACGAACGAATCTGCACAATTTACACACATTTTTATATTCTTATACATTCTTAGATCTTTTAGAGTAGTTATATATTCTTAGATAGTTTAGTTAAATATTTATAACCAATTATAGATACATTTTTACATTTTTATTTTTCTTTCTTGGCGCACCTGTAAACTAACTGGTGTGTCCTGTAGACTCATCAAGTCTATGGGACGCACCGTTACCACAGCTAAGTGTGTTGTCCAAATAAAATAAACTGTCTATGTCTATGTCTAAATGAATAATTTGCTGGTGAAAAAAAGAAGATTCATTGACTTCATGTTAGTGTGTTTCGCTTAAAAACAATAATCTAAAAATTATCATCAATTTTAGGGCTACTGGTTATTCTGGAACCGAGATAACATCTGATTCCAACAGGCCAACGGAATCCTCGAGACTGGCAGCTTGTTCTTCCTATATCTCGAGTTCTTCCGCTCAACCAAGTGCAGTCAGTGTGAGCTCTACTCATCCAAGTGCGAGTTCAGCAACTTATAGTGCGTCCGGTTCAACTGGCGCCCGCGATACGTCACTTGGTCACGGAGTAACTAGGTAAGACAGTGGTAGCATTATGCTTAAATACTGGTATAATCTGACCTGAGAGAGTCTGTAGCGAGGATGACAGGCGCTAAACTGTACAGGAAACAAGAATCTTATATTATTCACGGGACATTGCCAGATAAAATCATTTATAACTTTTGATTAATTAACCATTTAGTAGTAAGTTTAAATACTTGCTTTTTCAGTTTACAATCTTTAAACGGTCATTTCATTTGTTTAAAAAAATGTTTTTCCGCTCCAAAATTTGACTTGCGTCTTTTCGTGAAAAGGACAATCTACTTTAAATGCGAGATTTAGTCTAAGAATAAGAATTTTTGCTTCTTTTATGAATTATAGGACCTCGGCTTATACTCTATCAGGAAGACCGTATGATTATTCCAGGCCGACAGAATCATCGAGGCCCACCGGATATTCTTCGTACTCCACCGACTCTTCTCGACCAATCACGAGTTCACGGCACCCGGCGAGTTCCTCTGGCTCTCCTAAAGTATCGTCAGCTGACGGAACTGCAAGGTATTAGGCAATATTGTAAACCAGTTTATATTAAATACCTCGAGATAAAAACGGCAAAACATAATGATTTTGTAATGCAATTGCTGGAAATCTCGAAACGAAAATTAAAGATGCCTCCAAAGAAGAAGAGCGTGCATCTTGCTGTACACGGTCGCGTTTTAGAGACTTCGCCTTTATCATTAACTGGAAATGTTTCTTTTTAGAGTGGTTTTCAATTCAAATGAGTGTCGTAAAACGAAACCAAAGTAATTACTGTGCTATGCGTTTGGCTTAATTAGGACACTCGCGCCACTTTGTCATCAGATCAGAAGTAAAATCAAAATCAATTGTCACTAGCTCACACACGCTTTCCCGCGCTTTGCGTCAGTTACATGTGTTTGTTTTGAGTTTTGATGGGTTCACTGGATTGTCTGTCTGCTTTGTGATTGGCCACAGTGATACGACACTAAATTGAACACCGTTTTATTTTAATTAATTGATTTATTTTCAATAAACTTAGGATTAGTCTGCTTTACATGCACGCTAAAATGAAGTTGCATCGTATCAGCCAAATTTTGACAACGGGGACTTATTTCGAAATGCATGCACAATAAATTAATCAAAACCACATTAAGAAAGAAGGCTTACATTCGCCCACGCAGGTTAGCTCAGTTCATAATGATTATATATACACAAAACGTCTCCGCTTAATCTTCACGTAACAGCAACAGGATTGTGCAGTAGGATGTGATTTACAGATCAGTACTGGAGATTTCAAACATGGTTGACACTGATCTGCAGACAAACACCCACTATCTATCACCCGCTCGATGACGGCCACCTGTTACAATACCTGGTTAATTCTAGTACAGTGTGCCCGTTGTAGAGAAATTCAAGCGTGTAAACAACATTCAAAGTTTTCCGCCAAGGCGTTTTTGGACAATATGCAACCATGTTGTATTCTCAGCAGCATAAATTAACGCCGCCAAATGAAACTACTGTGTCGGTAACAAACTGCTAAACCATTAAATGGTACTGAAACCAAGTATTTACACTTTATCCACGGATTTAGAGGATAGCCACAGCCGTGCATTGCCATGGAAACACAGGGTTTAGTTTCGGGTAAAAGTATTTTGACTTGATATACAAGACAAACGAGAAAAAAAAAAAGAAGAAACGGCAGATTTTAAAATAAACTTTCATATGATGCAAAAGTTGCACCCTGTATGCGGTCACTTGGTTCACATTTGCAACTTGCAACTTAAATGTTCAAAGGCTTACTTAATCACAGAGAAACAGTATTAGCTTACACGCTGCTTAATTACCGCATTTCACAGGTGCCGTTAGAAACCGCAGATTTTCATGTAACGCCTAATCACACAAACTGCACGAAAAATTTTGTTGGGATGTGAGCAATCTGTCCATATAAAGTTAAAGTTTACATTAAAACAAAGATCTCTAATAAAGGTGTTTGCAAGCAACTAACGCTTAATGCTGGCAGATTATGGAACCCGGTCGCTGAAATTAATTCTTTACAGTCCCAAAAGTTTCTGAAACTTCTTGGACAAAAAAGAAATCACTTTTTTCCCTTGGAGCAGGTCTACAGAGCGCCAACTTGAAACCTAGCCAAACTTAAAGTTAATTCGTATAGTCCGTTGATAAGAAGTAGCTTTACTGAGGACGGCAACAACATTTTACCACAGCTGGTTCAAGTGATGCAAGTAAAATATGGCGACCTCCTGCCTAGAAAGTAGCAAACATACGTGTAACATGACAAAAACAGACCGTATTTTGAAGAACTGCCTAGCCTGGAAAACAACGTCTCAACGGAACGAACATCGAAGTTATTCAACAAGAACATTTCAATGACATCGTTCTGGCTCGTGCAACGTCAACCAACGTCAAAAAGGACAGATATCTTGACAGCAACTAAAAATACTACAGGAGAGGAATATGTCAAGGTTGACGAGCGACATAATCGAAGGTCTCGGAAAAATGCTGAAAAAATAACACATGATATTAATGACGGCCACCAGAAAACTCGTTACAGTTCGCAAATAGGTTTGATCTACCTAAAACCCGTTGTTCACTACACGACGTCAGTGTACTTTCATTCAAACAACGATCTTTCCGAAGAACCTCGATCTCCAAGAGACATTAGGTACGACATATATAGCACTTGTGTTACTCAGTTTAATTTCAGTTTACAAATTCAGCTATTTTCCATGAAAATTAAATATGATAGCTTAATTACGATAATTTATGTTGCATTTATTTCTAATTATATCAGAACTAAAACGAGTTCACTACTTGACTGTTAGACTATATGACATTTAATAACTTCTAATTCAGCACCAGAATTTTTTATTAAAACTGATGTCGTCTCCCCGCCGGTTTCGCGCAAAGAAAAGCTGTATATATTAGCATCAGAAGTATTTTAAGATTTTTATGTGTCAGCAATTAAGATTGAAAACCTGGTACGGTTCCCCAAGCAGGGAGAAGAAACACATTTCCTATACGTATTAACAAAAAGAGGCTAACTAAATTTGAAAAGTATTTAATTGCGTGTTTTGGTGCTGTACTTACATGAGCACTAGCTGTTTCAAATACGGACATGAAAAATTCATTTCTCCTGTAATTGTGTATAATTATGCTTTAAAATTGTTTGCTTTATTAATTACTAGAAGACTGAAAACCAAGCTCAGTCGCTAGATATCTAGGAAAGATTAGGTAAATGCCTGAGGTAAATGCTTAGATATATATTATTCACCACGGAGTATTACAGTTCTACATGCTATCTTGAAGTTAGCGGAACTATTACACTCCAGAGAATGACATGTTAGAAATCATTAACCTAGTCTTGATTAGAGAGAGAACCGTGTTGTTAATTTTTTTATCTTTGCTTTTAAACCGATTCCAAAAGGCCTTGCCGTCCATTATAAAGTTTCTGAAACAAGTTGCAACATAGAGTCGTAACAGCCATTGGTTCTGATATTTTTGTTTCTTTGCATCCTCAGGGCTGAGGTTGAACGAGTAAGATGTGGGTTGCTAGGCGACGGAGTGAGTGGTCGTGCAAACGTGATATCGGATAAAGAATTTCGGGACAAGAACAAAGTGCTAACGACCTCTGACCAGCAAAAACATGGTGAGGCCCACAATGTTTTATTTTCAGTTCATCCAAAGACGAAATGATGTTTGTATTTAGTCGAAGCCGAGTGTTTCATTGGCTATCTTCATTTTTCGTCGATTTCCACTCTTTTTCCCTGGCATGTAGCAGACACAAGTATTTATCTCCGGGACATTTCGCTGTCCACACTACTGAACACGGTACAAAAACAAACTCCACGACGGAAAAATTATTGGTGGATTTTTAGGTGTAATGTGCCGATTAAAAACTATCATATAAATGCGTACTTTCCGCGAATAAGAAAACAGGTGTAATGTGGCCGTTATACGTTTGTGATACAATCGCTCGAAATTCACCACTTTCCGATTCCAAACAAGGGGTTTCTTGTTCCAAGTTGAGTCATAACCGCAGTCTCGCTTACAATTGGCAGCAGACGTACTTGAGAAACTTTAAGAAAATGGCACTTAACGATATTTAACCCCATATTCTGTTTCAAAATATCCCCGGCCCGAATTCAATGTTGTTATTGTAGGCGCTGGCGGGTTGCGGGGTAGCGGGGGGCATGTTACCAAGACGCTTGAATATAGGATTTTACTGCGAAGTATCTCAACACTTTAGTCGCTTATTGCAGTTCTTGTTTCTTAACCTTATGAAATTAACAGCATTGTTTCTCTCTCTTGCTGGATGCTTATCCGTTGCAAAAGCTGTTTTTATCATTACCTAATCGGGCTAGTTAATTTTTCTTTTCAGCCGCACAGCTGACAACCAGGGACATCAACCTGCACAAGCATGAGAATCGTCGAGCTCACCACACCGACAAATACGAGCACTCGAACTTGATTGTACGGAGAGGGGAGAGTTTTGACATCACTTTGATCTTCAACAGAGCTTACGAGG